ATCCGTCGAGGAATTTGTAGCCATTCATCCCGAATTGTCCGAAGCCGACCCTAACGAGCTCATGATTGCGCGCATAAACCACGAGCACGCGGAGCGAGAGAAATTAGAACAGGCCAGACAAGAGCTTCTGAAGCGGAAACAAGCATTGATTGCGGAAAACAAGAAACGAAAAGATGACTTGGCCAATTTAGATCAGGATCTTGAAAGGTTTATCGATGTGAGTTACTTTTCTCTTAACCTTCGGGGCCATTTCATGCTATTTTCTCCGATATACGAAAGAGGGATTTCCATATCTCCCAAGGTCCCATACATGAGCTAACTGTACCATCACCAAACAGGCTGCGAAACCAATCCAGAAGATTTTTGAGAAGGAGTATTGAGGATTTGTGACTAGCTCATCTCATATCTAGCATTTTCGGGCGTTGCTGGTTTTAGGCGGTTTTGTTCTTCATACGGATGTACAGGAGTTGTTAGCATTTTTATTATATTATATTTTATTTTATTTTCATTTTTTGAAAAAACGTTATGATACCCTTTACGAAGAGATATCTACTCCACTATAGGATAACTAGTGTCGATTTCACCCTCCTTTGATATTATGTCTCCAATATATATATATATATATATATATACTGCCGAGCTGATGGGCGGCAGCCTGTAGGGCTGAAAAAGCGCTCTAACATATGTATGTTTCTCAGCAAAACACATCAGTTAAAAGCCATCATTTACGATATCTAGCCACTGAAAATGAGACTCTCAGGAACCTCAAGATAATTCTCAGCATTGAGCATCTTACTTCATAAAAGGAGGAGGTGCACACAAAACTGTTTCGTAAATCTGTCTGCTGTTGGGGCACACCAGCCAATCGCAAACCACAGAAGTTAAAGCCAACTTCAAACTCCGCAACTCCGCAACTCCAGTTGATCGACGCGCCAACTCACAAGAACTATCAAGCAGCCTGCTTCCGCTCAATTTGTGCGGACCATGAGCTGACAATGCGGAATAAAAATGATGGCAAGATGGGGACTTCCTCTGTCAGTCCCCATACAAATCCTACGCAAATATCCGATAAACCAGCCATGCCGGCCGCCAGCGCAAAGCGGACACTTCCTGCTGAGAAGCCAGAGGCCATCCGCACCAGGACATTGGTGATAGCCTCATTCTGGGCAATTATACTATTTTTGGGGCTTCCGATGTGGTGGAAAACTACATCTATCTACAGGGCACGATTACCATTGGAAGAAATGAAGGATTGGGCAGATGGCAAGGTAGGTTTCGAACAATTCCTCCCCGTGCTGTCTGTTGAGACACATCTGGTCATTCTGGAGACATAAGCTGATATTCCCCACGTAATAGGTATGCCGCCCTGTTTTCCCTTTGCAGATTCTCGTTTATGCCCCGTCGATGAGCACGCCTGATGCCGAACAACTTATTCGCACCACCCAACATGCTCTGGATGATTTGAATGATTTCTCCGCCCATCACCTCCGGCTCCGTCTAGCAGAGACCTCACAGAGCTCAGGAGAGGGGGCAGAAACCGCGCCAATAGTGGATGCGGATGCTGAAGAGAAAGAAAATGCGGCCCTGAATGTCAAGTTACTGCCGAGGGAGGATTTGGCAGCACTCGGCGCAGAACTGCATCCATATTCCGAGAGGCTAGACATCTTTTATCCGGTTAGCCAAGCGCCGTCTACTTCGGCACTCAATTCGCTTCTCGCTACGTTTATCGCCTCAGAAGTTCAGAAACTGTTCAATGAGGAGAAGGCAACAATCGCGTATATCTTATCGTCGAGCAATACGCTTAGCCCCTCGCTTCAATCCTCAACAGGCGGACAGACGCCTCCAGTGAATAACAGAGAGCAAGGAGTGGCTCTCATTAAATCAGTGGCTCCACAGCTGGCAGAGTCAATTGCTCGTCGAACCACCCGTTCTTTTAAGTATGCTGAAACGTATCATCTAAGCTTCTCGCTTTTCACCCCGGGACCCTACCCATCTTCATGGGACGTCGAACCAGCGCTTCAGGAATACCTTGTTCCGCTGCTGAAAACGTTTGCACCCATCAGCAACTTCTCCATCGACACACAGGTGCAGGTATATGCCAACTTCGCCCCGACCGCAACACAGCCAGAATACGACGAATCACAAAACGCCTGGACCTTACACAAGAAAGATCTCAGTTCCTTTATCAATGCCGCAGAATGGCCTCTCAGCCCTAGTATCGGCAAAGGCCCCACGATAAACTTCATCCTCTACGTCCCGTCAGCAAGCCAATCTCCCCTCGTCATCAAAGAGAACCGTGCCACCAGCTGGCTCATCCCTCAGTGGGGCGGGATCGTAATCCTCAACCCTCCCCTCGATACCTCATTTGTCCCCAGATCCAACCCACCCCATCTCGCCAAAGACTCCCTTCGTTCTCCGCTCTCCACATTCTCTCATCAACTGCTCACACTCCTCGGCACGCCATCCTCCCCCGCCTCCCTACCCCTGCGTCTCCAAACCCTAGTACGCATACACACAGCCTCCCTCCTCCTCTCCGCATCCTCAACCATGGGTTCCCTAGCCCATCTCACCCGCTCTCTCGCCTCCATACCCATCCCACTGAGCGTGGCCAACTCCGTCTCGACTACCCTTTCGCATCTCTCTGCTACATGCGAGCTCTTGCGTGAAGGCCGATTCAGGCAGGCGTTGGCGACCGCACGTGTTGCGGAGAACGAGGCGGAGCGCAGCTTTTTTGATAAGAGCATGGTTGGCCTTGTGTATTTTCCGGATGAGCATAAGGTTGCTGTGTATCTGCCGCTGCTGGGGCCGATAGGGGTGCCGCTGGTCATGGGGTTGGTGAGGGAGGGGAGGAGGTTGGTTCTGGCAATGAAGCAAAGGAGGGTTGCGTAGATATATATATATATATTTGTTACGTTCTCTGCTTTTTTGAGCCCGGATCTGCGGTGTAACTATTTCTGTTATTTGTTTTTGGTAGATGGCTGCTATATCGTCGTTGCGCTCTGATATCCAACCAATATAACTTGCAAGTTTGCTTTTGAAATATCCAAAATAGATTAGATATCATATTTCTCTATTCTTTAATTATCTCTCTTTGAAACCTCTGACCATCAAATATTTCCTTCCCTGATCACTGATTCTAACAACCTTGGAACAAATCGCCATCCAACCAACCATACATTAATTCTCATTCTCTCACACAATCATCTTCTCTGGATTTCATACCATATCTCAGAATTAGCAATGCGTGGTTAGTTCTTCCGCGCTGTAATCAAGCCCCACTGGCTAGTGCCTGAATCACCAACCATCCAAGGTTCATTCACACCAGGATACACGATGTCTGGCTCCTCTTTCTTTCGCTTTCGCTTTTGCTTTTACTTTTTTTGCTCATTTCCAGCCCACGATGGTGGCTCAGCTCCTCTTTGGTGCTTGGACATCCCTAAAGCCTGGGTCATCCTTTGTTTAGTCCAACACACACTCTGGCATAATATCAACATGAGATGTTTTGAAAGAACGCCTAAGTTGGGTCCGTATCATATCGATACATCTAAAAAAGAAAGCGATTTGGCGACTTTAGTTTCTTTGAGCTTCTGTTGCTGGGATGTGATTATGACCTTTGAGATATCAGCGCTTGACTGGTATGTATTTGTACATTTTTACGCAAGTAGATAGTGCGGTCGTTTCCACTCCCGCGGGACAAGCTTCATGCGCGCATATATTGACTGGTATCGCTTAGTGCCAGGAATATAGGGCCAATTGCATTGATGTAACTCTAAACGCGTAGGTATATAGTACGGGCGGCAAATGATGTTCGAGTTCGTACTTGCTTTATTTCACATTCGAAGAATGGATTTTGCCGAGAAAATTGTACAAAGGGTATGATAGATCGTTTATAGAGTCTGCTCAAGCTTGGGAGCCCATAGATGCTTTGATATGGTTGGATTAGTAGGTAGGACGGTCTGAGAAGTCAATATCTGACAATGGGAAAATGAGAATAAAAGAACTGAGCTGCAGGGAAATAACTAATGCTGTTCATGTTGTGAGGGCGACGGACTGCATGAGAACCTTGGAGTGGGGTAATAAAAAGAAGTTCATTGAACGAGGAGATAAAAGAAAGTGGGACAACAGGCAAAGAAAAGAAGACGACAATGAAAAACTTTATATAAGTATATCGAAAATAACTGATGGTCAAGGCAAAAGAGTCAGTTGATATCATAATGCGCCCAGGAATAGGACGATGAGTATGACCACCTAGCTATCTAGCTACCAAGCTAGCTAGGTAGTAATAGGTCAAAGACATTAGACCAAAGCATTAACAGCATAACCAAAGAAAGCGAGCATGGCAAAATAGCCCAAATTTAGTAAACATAGTGGTAATGAAGAAATAAGCCAGGTCGAACCCCCGCGGTATTTACATGAACAAAAATTAAGAATAGATTATAAACCAAAAAGCCAATATGCCCCCCAGACACCGGCAGCCGTACTCCAGGAGCCAACCTGCAAACCGAAAAAAAAAATACAACACCGTTATTCTATAACGTTTTGTCGCAGATTTTGGATGTCAAAAATCTAAAACTTGTCCGGCGACTACCGGAACTGAGGCAGAGGTGGTGTTTTTGTGACAGAGAAATATGGGCTGCCACTTTTGCTCTGAAATCCAACCCTTTCCATCATTTCAGAGAATGTGGTTTGCGGTCGACCATTTGCAACACTCGGGTAGGCCCAGACTCCGCTGTGACTCAAATGTGCCGGGCTGAAAACCTTTATGCCTTCCGCGCTTGGCTCACATCCACCACCACCACTAAAGCCTCCTCCTCCTTTATTCGGAGGAGGCATGGTTGCAATATCTTCCGCTGTAGGCAGCGATCCAAAGACACTTCTCACCCGGGCGCTGGTCCGTTGAAATGTCGATCTGCTATGCTCCTCGTTGTCAAGTTCTCCTGGCCGACGGAGGAAATCTGTGCGGATTGAGTCATGGGCTGCACAAGGGATTGGGTCAGAGATCGAGACTTCACCCTTGTCGAAGGATTCGCGGAAATAGCCAAATTTTTGAATGAGCGATGATGCAGAGCGTGTTTCCTGCCGGTGTCTATAGAAGAAAATCGCAATCATGGCGATTAGGATGCCAGCAACGAGGCCGGGAACTAAGCCAACGGCAACTGCGCGCCCGGGGTACTTTGGTTCATTGGATATTGACGAAGGATGTGCTTCGTTCATATTAGGAAAAGCTTTAGTTGGGGAGGTGGGTTTGAGCGTTGGAAGATATGAACTATGAAGGATAATATACGATGCTTGGGTAGTCGACGTGGAATTGGCAGTGGTATTAGATGACGCAGGAGTAGCGGAGTGGGAAGCTGTTCCTGATTGCGTCAATGTAGGCGATGTAGGGCCAGGCTGCGAGGTGGTGGTGGTCACTGGAAACGGTGGAAAAGCCAGCTCCGGATAGATCACTTGGCAATAGAACCCTCCTAGCCTGTCCGAGAGACATTGAGTGCCAGGAGGGCAGCATTGGCCGCCACACTTCCAGGACTCGCTGTTGAGCGTGGTGGTCCTAGCAGGAGAGTTTGGGTTCTCGGGAGTTTGAGTATTGCATGGTTTTTGGTTCATTCGATAACACGACTGTCCTAGGGGGCAGCATATCATCGAGGTAGAGTTGTTCAGAGTAATGCATACAGTGCCCTCAGGACAACAGAAGTTGGATGGAGCTTTCGGGTCTTCACATGGCGAATGGCCTTCGGAGCACAATCCAGTGCCACGTTGCAAACCCCCAAGGGCTACCGTCAAGGGCACTGCGGACAACGGCGCCTGTAATGACAAAATCGTAGTTAAGAGGAGGACCAGACTCCTCAGAATCGTCATGCTGACGTATCAGGATGGGTTAACTTGCTCGAATAGACATCAGAGTCCGCACAAAGAACGAAGGGAAGGGAACAATCAACGTTGATAACTCGTGAACAGAAACAGAGGAGAAGAAGAAGAAGAAGAAGAAGAAGAAGAAGAAGAAGAAGGAGAAGGAGAAGGAGAAGGAGAAGAAGACAGAGAGAAATAGTAAGAAAGAAAAGTATATTGTATTGGATGGCAAGAAACAAGAAGAACGAAGCTCAAACCTCCAAACGAAACATCGCCGCCGCGCGACTTTTTGTATAAAGGCACGAGGCAGAGCAAGGTCTCGAGACGGAGACATAATGCGGAGAAACCTTGGAAAAAGAAGAGGAAACCCTTTGTGAAACGCATAAACACCGGCCTGGACTATAGTTATGACAGACAGAACGCCACAGGAAAACCCCGCGACACAGGTCTGTTGAACAAAAAGATGACGGCATGGACGTGAGCGGGGCCAATGTCTAGGCCAGGGACGGAAGGGAGGGAAGCTAACCCCTGGACCCAACCTGACGAAACACTCTGGAGCCAGCGAACCGCCCACCCAAGGGTAAGGACTGAGACCTGAGGAGTCCATCCTCAATCCATCCTCAATCCATCCTGCGGCGCCAGAGACAGATCGCAACGGCCCCTCATCGCCCAAGGACCAAGGAGTGTCGGGCGTGTCAAAACCCACGCTGTAGCGACGGGTTGGATGCTGTGGAGGCTGAAACGGCGAATCGAGCGATTTTGGCTGCCCAGTGGGTGGGTGATCAGTCAGGTGAGATCGACAGTAGCCATTGGTTCGATTCAGCATCCTTACCTTATCATGTTTTAGTTCGTTCGTTCACTGGCTATGGTTAGTTTTCCAGCAGTTAACATCCAAAACAAAGCACAACACGTCCCCTCGCTCTGATTGGGCCAGGCACCATAGGTGAAGGTAAAGGGGTTGTTGTATTTTGCCCTTGTTGACGCAACACAAGGGCCAAGATTTTCGTGTAGGTATACCGACCGCCAACTCCTCTACCACTCCAACCAGAAAAGGCGAGGGCATGTCACCACTAAATGGAACATCCTGGCAAGAATGTCATGGAGAGGAAAATGCTGAATCTCCAAACTAACTGATGACTCTCTCCACGTAGACATCAACTCATGGAGTTGGCACGTGAAGATCGGCTCGGGGGCCGCGGCGGTGGGTTGATTTTTGTTCGAGCGCAGACGCATAAAGTCGCAGGTTGATTTTGAGGCAGAGTAAAGTTGCTGAGGCTGTGATTGGCTGCGCGGGCACCCCTGGGGCGCTATGCCTGAAACACACTGGTGTCTTGGCACCGAAGAAATATTTCCATCGCAGACTTCGACTCGGAATCCCGGTTGACCGCGAGCGAACCAGTCCCAGCAACCGACGTCTGTTTTGACATTTGACAATTTGGGATTGAGTCTGAGACTGAGGGATTGAGATTGAGATTGAGATTGGCGGATAAAGGTTGGCTGGTTGAATCCGGTTCACCACGTCATCCTACGCCCTCCCTCCGCGCCCCCCTTCCCCCTTCTCCTCCAAACCTGGCGATGGTTCGAGGCTGAAATCCTTTTTTTTTTCCCCCTCCGTTCATGATATTACAACGCTCACTCCGGCCGCAGTCCGGTCTGCGCGCCGTCTCCTCCTTCTTGGTGTGCTTCCCTCCCTCTCGGAATTCGTGCCCCATATGTTGTTATGTTGATGTTATGTTGCTGATGACGCTGGTCCTGCCCCTGTAGCCCTTCCTCCGAACAAACCCTCCGAGTCGATCAACACATTATGTACCGCAATTGGGGCACGATAGCGCCTTCAAGAAACATGGAATTCCCGATCTCCTCTCGCCGCAGGGTTTCGATCTGTCATGGACTCAATACCAGGGTTTCCTGATCAACAAACTGAATCTTTTAACAGCAGGTATATTTCACTTTTGTCCAATGGCCTCTGTGCAAGTGGATAGGATATATATATAAAGAAAAAGAAAGAAAGAAAACCCTTCAATTGGCGATTTTGGGGTCTGATGTGTGTGTGTGTGTGTGTTTAGGGACTCCTGATGAATCTGCAACTCCCGGTACACTCCTAGTCAAATATGCCCGCGATGCGAGCATGGCGTCGGTCTTCAACTACGCCTCCATGGCCCACAACAACCACTTTTTCTTCAATTGTCTGGTCAGTGAACCCTCTGTGCCTCGGAATGGTGGAAATCTCTGCCCGGTCTAACCATAAATTACCATTATCGTAAATAGGCCCCCCAACAAGTCCCCATCCCCGAACACATCTCCAATGCCATCAACGATTCCTGCTCGTCCGTCGAGTCGCTCAAGGCAGAATTCCTCGCCACCGCCAACGCCATGTTTGGTCCCGGCTTCGTCTGGCTGGTGAAAGCGAAGGATACCGGCCAGTTTAAAATACTCTGCACCTACATTGCCGGCTCTCCGTATGCTGATGCCCACTACCGCCGCCAGCCCGTCGACATGGCAACCCAGACCACCGGCATCACCGGAGGAGAGAACCTGCAACAGATCAGAAGACTCGCCCCAACGAATCGAGTAGGCTCAATGGGTGCCTATTCTCCTCAGAAGAAGGTTATGGCACCCGGCGCCATTGATGTTCATCCTATTCTGTGCGTGAACACTTGGGAACATGTATGGCTTCCCGACTGGGGTATTGGAGGCAAGCCAAAATTCCTGGAGGCATGGTGGAATAGGGTCAACTGGAACGAGGTGGCGCACAATGATTCCAAGTGTGGGTCGTTTTCGACGCGCGCTTCCTCTGCGAGATCTTCTTTCAGGAAAAGACAGAGGATCTGATTGATCTCTCAGGCAAACATAGAAAAAAAAAAAATTAAAAGAGGAAAATGGACGGGGACGATTGGATTCTTTCGTTCTCTGTGTCTAGATGTCTGTCTATTCTGTATTATATATATATATATTCTTCTATTTTCTTTTTCCTTTGCATTTACATACACACCCAGCATGTCATCTATGCTATTAGAGGTAGGGAAATATAGACGGGTATCAATGCCTCTTCCCCTTTATGGCCAGTAAACCGCGATGCATCTCTCTGCATATCATCATCCCCAAGCCCAAACTGCCCGTCTAATGTCCAAATAACCCATCCCAAAAAAGCCCCAATACACGCCCAGACACACACACAAAAAAAAAAAAAAAAAAAAAAAAAAACTACTTCGCCATATCCAACTCCCTCACCCTTTTCTCGAACGCCTCAATCATCATGCCCGCCACCTGACTCTCCACCGCCCCCATCATAGCCGCATGCATCGCACTCCGAAACTGAAACCTGACCTCCAACACAACCTTCGTCTCCTCCCTCCCGCCCCCCATCATGACATGACCATTATCCCTCGGCTTCAGTGGCTGGAGCTTCCACAACGTATCCAAATATTCAAACAACCCACCATCCCCACCATCCCCACCGTTCCCGTTCCCGTTCCCGCTCCCGCTCCCGCTCCCGCTCCCTTTCCCTGTCCCATGCCGCCCACTCCTTGCACCCACTGTCCACCGCTCCCCGTCACACTCCACCCGCGACACAAACGTCTCGCTCAACGGGCCATATCCGACCGTCAAGAATGCGCTGGTGGGGTGTCCGGTCTCTCCGTCGCGGGCGGTCACTGTCGATGCGGTGAGGAATGGCAGAAAGCGAGCGTACGAGTCGATGTCTGAGATTGTGCGGAAGAGAGGTTCCGGGGGGAAGGGGAGGTTCCGGGCGGCCGTTAGAGTTTGGGGCGGCGGTGGGGAGAAGGCGGTCGCGAAGGTTGGGAGATGGAAGTTGTGGAAGGGCGGTTTTGTTATGGTGCCGGTGCGCCGCGGGGTGGGTTTGGAGATGGCGAGGGAAGGGAGGAGCAGGCGCAGGAGGGGACCTGGTGGGCGCATTTTATATATATATATATATTATATTATATTATATTTATTTATTTATTTTTATATATATTTGGGACCCCCTCCTCTGTCTTTTCCAGCGGTGATGGCGGAAGGGTTTGGAGGGGAGCTTTCGTTTCTGTGCTTTGTAGAGGCGAGGTGGGTAGGGTGCGAAATTACTCTTTCCCTTCCCTCTGGCTAGATTAGTTATCGCATGGTCGTTGCGCGGACGGTAGTTAACTATAGGCTGGGTGTGCAATGCGATTACGAAGATTCGATACACGGCAGGATTTGGGTGGTCGTGTGGGATCTTATTCGATGTTTGTAGGAATAAAGTTGTTTGACCGCGAGGCCTCCGCAACGAAGTCCGCAGAAATATTTTAACTAACCCTTGGCGCAACTTTTCTCCGGTGCAATCACAGCTGCAGTCCTGATCGACTCCGCATGCTTTTATCAAGTGAGCAACATTTTAACTTGGTGCTTGATTTGTCCATTCTTTTCCTTTCAAAATGGCATGTGCTTTTCAGTATTCAGCTTCTTGGGAATTATTCATGTCATTCCTGCCATGTTTACTATACTTCTCTTCTCAAAGGAGGGGCTAGGAATTGGCGTGTTATCGCATGCGGATAAATTTTGAATAACAGTCTTCTCTCATCGATCAACCTGAGAGGGCAAACAAAAATGACAGAATCAAAATTATTATCCAACCTAGTCAATTAGTTAACTGACCTAATTAATAAGCGAAGTCAATGGTTATTTAACCAGCTAACTAGGTGCCTATAACTAGTTATACAAGCCAACGGATCATGGGGGAAAGCCCATCGGCACTCTCGCCATTTCTCCATTTCCACAGCTGAGCTTTCAACGCTGTGGCTCATCCAAAGGCCCAACAAGACGGAAACTCATCCTAAACCCTATGCAACAATATCTGCCTTCATTGACACAACCCCACTAGGACCATAAATATTCACCTTCCCACCTCTCCCTTCCCCTTCCTCCAGCACAATCCTATACTCCTCCTCCGCATACAGCGGGCTGGTCGCCCTGTACTCAATACACTCAGGAACAAGAACCTCTTCGGCGTCTGCTAGCTTGTCGTTGCCATTGCCACAGGTTGAATCCCGCTTCTGTGCACCATGCACATCCCGCCACAGGTCTAACATGCAAATCAAATTGAGCGGGCCATGTACGACCAGACCGCGGTGTCCCTCGACGGTTTGAGCCCAGGGGAGTGAGTAGTGGATTTTATGGCCGTTGAATGTCAGTGCTGAGAAGCGGAAGAGAGTTACTGCTGATTGGCGGAGGGTGCGGGTGTGGGTGGTGATGTTGTCTTGTGTGGAGGTTGAGAAAGTTGGTGGTACTGTTGATGGGCGGTTAAAGGAGATGGCGGGTGGGGCGTTGTCGACTGTTCGAGGAGTTGAGGTTGACGATGGCATCTTGAGAGCTTCTCGGAATACCCAGTTTCTGTATTATGTGTTATTCAATGGTTAGTATTTGTTTATTTAGGTTCTTCTTCTGTTTTACGGAGATGAGATCTAGAAGGGAGATTTATGATCCCCCAGCTTCAGCTTCGAACAGAAGATTCGTATGATGTGAAACAGAAGAAATAAATAGGACGAAATGATGAGAGGAAACAACAACAGATCCCCACGAAACAGAAGAAGTAAGCACACAAAACATGCCATCAAGGATGCTCTTTTTCTATATATATATATATAAACTCACCGTCTATCCACAATCGCAACGCCCTTTTCATTCTCAAAAACCTTCTCCACACCAACAACCACCATCTCCTCCCCGGTCTTCCTCACAACCTTTGCCTCAGCAGTCAACATCCGGGTCGTCTCCCGCACCTCCTGACCAACCCTCAACAAATTCACCTTCCCATCCACGCCACGCGGCCACCGCACCTCACCGCCAGCCCACATGCGTCTCGTAAACGGAGCATCGGGGTTATATGACACGTCGGTGCCGTCAGCTCCCAGCTCACCTTCCAAAAATGCCGGGCTGAAGTATACGAGATGGTGTCCGGGGGGGATGGGGGTTCCGGCTTCTGGGGGTGCGGAGTTGGATATGGAGGGGTTGCCTGGATATATCGAGTTGCGGTTTAGCGTGAGAGAGAGCAGCTGAAGTTGATTGGCATCGAGGGTTTGGGTACGAGTTTGGGGACCGAGGGATTGGAAGCGGGAGAGGAAGTTGGAGGCTACGGCTGACGCCGATCTGTTGGAGAAGACAGATCGTGACTGGAGGTAGGGCTTGGATGTTGGTAGCTGTTGCGATGATCGGTTATATGTGATTCTGCGGCCTAGACATATCCCGGGGGCGAAGGAAGGGTGGAAAGACAAGCGTGTAGAAGCGGCCGTGACGTTTGATCGGGACGGAGAAAACATGGTTAGCGTGGAAAGGTTTCCAGTCGAGGTGGAATCGAGATCAGGGGTTTCGTTGATATGTAACTAGTTATAATGTATGTATCTGTACCAATCTATTCTCGATCGATTGAATATGCCTTTGCTATTATGGGATTATGGCAGCTCCCGAGGTCTAGTGACAATACGTCAGAGGTATGGAGGACATGAAGCGATTTGCGCAGAGGTCGTCCGGCTTCTCAGGTCCTGGGAATGGATGCAAATTGCAAAGTTCATGAGGGGTTTGAAGCGAAAATTTGCAGACTGAATATGTTAATTTATAGCCTGTAGGGAGAATGAATGAGTCCCACAGAAGCCATTTCCGCGGTCATCTTCCGAGAAGGATCGGGAGCTTCCCCATGATCCCAGTGGATTCTGTATCTCTGTAACTGCTGTGCCGTTAATTGTAATAGTGGGTGCCTCAGGCTTGAGCCTCGGGATCTCGGGACTTGTTGGTTCCCCGGTTCTTGCACGACGCAACAAGTTAAACTTTGTTAATTATTTCTTGATACTTTAATAACCTGAAAAATGATCCCCGGTTTCGGCTCTCGGCATCCGGCATCTTATGGCCATGGGAAGCACAGATCTATAAGATGATAAATGTCTAAGAAGGTTGCAGTATATCCAAATTAATTACCAGGACTTGTTTGAGATTGTCGAGTATAACATGGAAAATCATTTTCTGGGTGCTATTTTTCCTATTTCCGCATGACTGTTTTCGAAACGCTGTTCGCCTCTCTTCCTGAATACCAGAACGAGGCTATCCTGTGGTAACTAAATAAGTAGTTAACTAAACCTACAACGAAAGATGAGGGAACTTAACTCTCGGTTCTCATCAATCTCCCAAGGATACAATGATTTTGGGAAGATCCATAACCAGGTAGTTCCAGGGTTATCAGCGAGATATAGAAATTACAAATGCTGAAAATGCCCCGCCATCCAGTTCATTCGACTATCGTGAGTTTTCAGATGGCTCTAAGGTGATAAAGTCCGCTGGGCACGGTAAAAAGTTTCATCCAACTTCCGGAACTAATTCATGGAACAAATTTCCAAAGTGAAGAGACCGCTGGTTAAAGCATCTGTCGAAGACAATGTTGCTGGATTGCGAACAAAAAGGTGGCTATCCCATCCAGTTTGGGGGATTTGATATTTCCTTTATTCTGAACACTAACTACGCTCTGGCTAAATATTCTGACAAGCCTGGATATGGATGACAATTTCCTGATGGCAGTTCACCTGCTCATCTTGCATTCCCCATTTTTCTTTTCTTTTCTTTTGGAACCGGCAACTCTCTGGGTTCAAGCGCTCTGGCGTGAACTGCAATGATGAACGCGAGATGAAAGAGCAGCAGAAATGAGCAGCAGATGATGGGTGATTATTGCTGCCAATCCGTTCACTGTACAACTTCGCGTCTGCTGCGTTGTCGCATTGAACGTGTCGTGGAGATCTGCTCTAGTAAAAACTACAACACAACTCCTATAACCCCTGATTCTTCATTGCTGAGCCTCTTCTTCTTTCATCTGATCTGGTCTTCATTTGCAGCTTATCTACCAACACTCACACTCTCTTGCCCACGGATTTGATGTTTCAATCATATGGCGCAGGTTTTTCTTTCTTTAGAATCAGTATCATCTTTCCCTGTGCTTGTCTGGAATCGCTTCTACTGTCTCAATGAACTCCTTGCAGCTTTATTTGCAGCTTCATTTACCCTCCCGCCCCCCTCCCTGTCGCCGATCACACAGCCCCTCAAACGGCGACAAGATTGAATATCCGAAATTCTTGGATTTCAGCAAGGTGCAGAAGCCTCGACATCACTGGGATGGATCTCAGAGAGAAATTGTTTGTGTTGCTAGACGTTTCTACTCCCTGACTCTGAAGCAAGAGACTGCAATTTTTAATTACATGTTTGCATCGGATCTTCAAAAAGAAGGATTCCTCAGTGGCCTGCCTGTCACTACCCTCAACTCACAGTGTCATGACATGGTTCGCAACAAACACCCCATATGGGTTTCGGTTAACTCATCACCACATTCTCATGATGGCGATGATGAGTACAGGGAAGCCCGTCGCTTGATTGAGATGGTTTGTATAGAGTTGGGTATTGAAATCAGCAAAAAGCCAAATACATACACACAGGTCAAAGGATGCCAGCTCCTGAAGTCGTTTTTCAATATCCCTGATGCCAAAAAGGCCGATGAATTGATGCTTGAACAAACATTTGAAACTGAAACTGAAGCGGAACTCAACACTGAACCGCAACATGAAAGAACCCCCAGTACCAATCTGAACTCGAGACGACGCACTCTGTATAAGAAACCATTTAAAGGAAAGAAGCCCAGGATCGTATACCGATTTCACAATGCACAGAGTAGGGGGATTAACAGTCCTAGTATACGTGCTGCAGTCTGGGCCACCGGTCCATCTCATATTCAGCATCCATCTCTCCTCGACCAGCGCATTCTTGCAAATCTGGCGAAGTCCCACCTTTCAAGATATACCATACCATCTCCATTTATTTCAACATATGCGACCCTCCTGCCAACAATTCATAGAATGTTGACCAAAAGTAACTGTTCAATGGTCTCAATCATAGATGCATCAAAACTCAATCAGCAAATGCTATTTTCTGCCCAGGAACTATTGGAAAAGGATCCTCTCGGCCCTGAAATCACCAAAGTGGGATATTTGGGGTGGCAGGAGTGGTTAGTATGGGGGAGCATTTCCGAAGAGGCAATTATCTGCACTATCTCTCATTTACAGCTTCTGAACATTGTTGACTTGAATCCTGACATTGAGTCGGTGCTTCAAACCCAAACAATCAAGCTTTATGTTCATAACCGCCTTCCACTTAAAACAAAACTCAGAGCTTGCCATACAAAAGTCGATGAGCCACATGGCAAGGTAATTGGGAAGTTTCTCAGAATGGTCAACCTTCCCCTGGAATATATTGAAGATGTTGCACTCGGAATCACCCGCGGCTGGCTCTTTACCCGCAGCCACACGAATACGAACGATGAGTTTCTAGGTGGAGTACGTCAGGGATATACGGAGTGTTCGGCTTATGTGACACCTCCAATTACACCTCAGAAACCAGAAAAGCAACCCGAAATAATTGTCATCGATGATGAGCTCAGCAAGGGAGGGGTGACGCTGGACAGATTTCAGGAGGAACTGAGACGAACCGCAGAGACAGAACCTGAATCCGAATCCGAAACACCTGAGGTACAGCATTCCGAGAGGGGTTCCCAATGGGAAACCGTGTATGTTGAGATGAATGAGGGGAATGAGAACTTTGCGAGAGTATTCGAACTGGACCGGGAGAGAGTTAATCGAGTGATGGGATGGGAGAACGAGAACGATGAATCTAGAAGCTGTGAGAGAATGTGGTGAGAAGAGTTCAATGAGTGGTTAGTGGCTTTAAGTGGAAGGAATCTATTTGCTGGTTCTGGTGGTACATGATATGATGTTTCTCTGGTTTCTCCCGGGCGCTTGCGGAAATATTTATTTGAAGGGATCTGAACGGATGAATGGGGAAACGGGGTTTATTGTGGCACTAGATGGAACATCTGACGAAGCTAATCGAAGAGGGGAATTTGCGAAGTTTCCGCATACGATGGTCCCGATATCCTGAACGTTAGGCTGCAAATGAAAACATGTTTTCGCAATTCTGATGTCACCCGGAAAGGTCAACCTCCACGAAATGAAGTTTGAAAGTTTCCATATGGCATTTGACAACTAAACTCCTTAATATTGGCATATAATCCTCTTCCACATATGGGAGAAAACAAGACAAAAAAAATGCACAAGCCGCCCTTTTTGGATAAAAAAAGGTAAAAAAAAGACTAGAGCTTAAGTAGTAGGTTTCTGGTTGGGCATAATCGTCTCGGGGTGCTTTTCCATCATCTTTTGGTCCTTGTGCCTGTCCTTTCTATTGTGTTTTTGTTCCTTTCTTTTCAAAAAGATTCGTAACATGAAAGCAGGTTCGTCGTGTCATTTGCCCCCTCATAAGCCCAGTTCGTACCCAACGTCACCCCTCAACCCCCTACCAACTCCTCCAAGACAAGAAGCATTTAGAACTTGCCGAATTGCTTGACGCCCTTGCCAGTGCGGGGAAGGACGCGAAGGACGTTGAATCGAACCTAAGGTTGGGGGGAAATTTTGATATTAGCATGAATCCCTTCTGATATCAAAGGTTAAATGCCCTTCTTCCCAAAAACAGCCTCTATGGAAGATCTGCATATGATTCCTCGATACTATCCACAATTTATTTCTTCTTTTCTTTCAATTTTCCCAACCAAGAAATGTTATAACCGCGAAATCAGATAAAGAAATATGATCAATCCAACACATACAGTTTTGCTGAGAGGCCTGCACTGTCCAACGGTGACTTGGTCACCTTCCTCAACACGGAAAGCCGGGGAGACGTGGGCGGCAATGTTCTTGTGTCGCTTCTCATATCGGGAGTACTTGGGAATGTAGTGGAGATATTCACGGCGGATGATGATAGTACGGTGCATCTTGGTTGAAACAACGGTGCCGGTGAGGATACGGCCTCGGATGGAAACCTGACCGGTGAAAGGGCATTTCTTATCTGCAGTTCACCGTCCTAAGTTAGAAAATGTGCTTATAATTCGTTGTTGAAAGAGTCAGGATGATTTTCGTATTGGTCAAGGGTGAAGTGCATAGAACACGGCATTTTCTCCGGCTTCTAGCAATTGGCCAAACAAGCCCCCGAAAGACCGCGAAACCACGCACTCCACCCCCGACACTACAACTTCATCGAGAGAGCAATGGAATTTTCTCAAATTTCAATGGCCTTTGTTCACGTCTGGCGCGGGATAGAAAAAAGAAGCGGGACCCGGCTCCATACCGATATAGCTTCCCTCGATGGCGGTCTTTGGGGTGCGAAATCCGAGACCAACGTCCTTGTACCATCTCCGGCCACCCTTTCCGACCTTCTTGCTCTTGGACTTCTGCTTGGAATTCAAGAAGATGTGCGGTTGCTTCTGGAAAGCACGTTCCGACTGGACAGTCAACTCGGTCGCCATGGTTGCCAAAGATCAAGAATCTGACTCTGAACTTGCGGGACAGATTCTCTCGAGCTGGAGCTGGAAGGGGGAGAGAGTGTGGTGAATGTCGATCGGCGAGGTGTGTCGGGTGTTGTTGGCGATGTCGACGAGATTCAAGGTTTTGTGCGGCTTTTAGATGCTTAATTCAATGTGGAAGTGGAGGAGCCGCGCTAGCCCTGAATTGGATTAGCGGGTCTCGGCTAGGGCTTGTCCGTTTTGTTTACTGCGCTAGTCCCAATCTGGAAGCTACTCCAGATCGCGTCAGGATTTGATAAGCAACGAACGACATCAAACGACAAACAAACGAGATATATAGACAACAGCGCACTCTTGTTGTATGCGCGTGGTGCCATGGTGGGAACCAATTCGTATACATCAGTGTACTAGACTCGGAATTGCCCCATCCATCTTCTTCAACACATATTCCTATATCCCCTGACATGGCTCCGCCCAAGAACGAGTCCGCGGCGTCTGACCGCATTCGATCCCGCCGGTCTTTCGCTGAGATGCCCCGTTCAGGCATTGGACCCGGGGTCGATAAAGAGAATATGACGGCGGATATAAGCGCTTCAAGCAGCCAGAGAACTGTGCCCCAAAGGCCGCCCCCAAAACAGGATAAGAAGCTCCGAAGTAAAAGTTTCGGACCCGGCGGTTTGGATGCCCTAAAGCATGCGAATGGCAATAGGCGAAAGGTACTTTGGAAATCCTGATCTACAAAGTCTTTTGCGATACTGATTACTCTCCAGTCAGCTGCTCAGTTCCCTCTAAAGTCTATCCTCAAACCTACGGTGCCCGTTTCTCCCATACGAAATATTCCATCCTTCGAGGAAACCCGGAAGAGGACACCGGTTCGAAGCCCGGAGCGCAACTCTAAATCTCGCCAATGGAATGGCCCTAGTGGAAAAGGCGATCAACATATTGGCACCTCTACCCCATCGGCTTGTATTGTTGGCACGGAAAATTTGGCCAATCCTTTTGATACATTCAATCCCTCGTCGGTGATGCGCCATGGCAAAGTTGCGGTTCGCACGGAGGAGGAGCAGCAAGCTGCCGCCAGGGAAAGGGAAGAGAATGAACTACTGGAGCGTGAGAAACAGGCCATTCTAGAGCATCGAGCGGCAAGGCGAAAATCGATGGGTAGGCTCAACTTCTGCACTATGTTTGCTTAGTTCAGGGGGTACCCGACTGACAGCGTTATTAAAAGCAAATCGTCGTGTGTCCTTTGCGCCAGAGGCCACCCTACATACATGGAATGTAGTTGAATTGATTGAGGATTCCACGTCTTCTTCAGCCTCGAACTCCACGAGACGTGCCTCTGCTATCACAGCCGATCAATCCCACCACACCCAGAATCAGGACACGGATCTTACAGATCGCCCGACAAACCAACCAAGCGATGATCCCGATGCTGATGAGCATGACCGACTGCGGGAATCACGTCGTGGCTCTGGATTTACTAAGAGAGATCCATACAGTCCCGATCCCGATGAGGCATTCTCTTCCAGCCCATTTAGCGGGAGCTCTGCTGCAGGAAGCGATGATGCCGGTGAGGTAGTTGTGGAAGACGATATGAATTCAGATTCCAATACTGATGATGACGATGGGGCCACGGTTATGAGTATAGAAAACACAACTGAGCGGTCCGGTTCTTCCCAATCAGATGATTCAAGCACCCATTCTAGCGCAAAACTCGACCAAGCCTTGCGACAGGCTGCTCAAGCCGCTGGCACTAAAGGGATTGACTTTGATGAAAATGGGGACTTGTCCATGGAATTCACTAATCATGAGATTACTGGGGCATTTTTACCCTGGGTTAAGAAAAGGGCCGAGAAGCTTGATTTTGATACGGAAGATTTGAGTGCTCGACAGGATCAGGAAAATGTTAACCCCTTTGATCAACCTTTATCCCAATATCGGCCTCCAAGCAGGGATTCTAGTGGTGGATTTTATGAGGATAGTGAAGCGGATGTGAGTATGGATATGACCAATGCCGTTGGGGGGATCATCCCAGAGCGACAGGATGGGACAGCGGTTGGTAAATCTTGTCGGAAATCTGTTGCTCCCGGTAGCGGCCGCCGAGATACGCTCCGTCGAACATCAACTGGCGAAATGTCACCTTTCGGGGACCAAACAATGGAGTTTACGAATGTGATTGGTGGTATTACCCAAGACCATTCTCCCATCAAGGAGCTCTCTGGAAATAGTGACGTTGGAAGTGATGAAGAGATGACGATGGAACTTACCTCAGCTCTTGGCGGTATTCAACAGGCTTACCTCCAAAGGGATGTACCCCACCAGGAATACCAGCGGCCCTCCAATGAGCCTGTGGAATATGGAAATCAAGAGTTTTGCGATGAAGCAGACGATGAAGCCATGGAAATGACAGGCGCTATTGGAGGTATCTTGGACCCCATTGAGGAGCAAACGGAACCCCTGGAGGACGAAACCATGGGTATGGATATAACGAATGCGATAGGTAAAATATTACCACCCCAGTTCAATTTCAATAACAGGTCCCAAAGAAAAGTTTTGATGGAGCTGGAGAGCGATGCTGGTCAGCTCGGCAGCTCGCCGTTCCAGGAGAACATTGTGCCTTCGCCGCGGAAAAGCCCTGCTGTTGAACAGAAGGCTCCCGTGGTGTCTGAATCTGGCAGCCCGACCGTATGTAGCGTAAAACGCAGGCAGGAACGAAGAAGTATGGGTCCAAGGCAATCAACTACTCCAAGAGATGGCTCTCGTCATTCATCGCCCTTGAAAAAGGTATCGACACCTTCGAATCAAGTGACTCCACAGACCAGCAACCATTCAACTCTTGGAAAGACACCACCGTCTGGTAAGGTCGTATTCAGAAGCGCATCTCCGAAAAAGCTTTTCGTACCGGAGCTTAAACAAGCATCCGCCCAAAAGACTCCGACTAGTTCGAGTAAGCTTTTTCATCAGGATAGTGCTGGGAAGGCTACTCCATCCTTCGTCCTGCGTCCTCATGGGCGTCCATCTAGTGGTCTTGGTATTGATAGGGAAGGTATAGGGTCACCTCGTGTTGCTGAAATTCTGGATAGACGACGATCCATAGGGGAAGACTCCCGGGATTTTATACCAAAAAGTCCAATTTCACGAGGAGTGAGATTCGATAACCCCCGGGAGATGGAAGAGGAACTTGAGAGGGAACAAGAAGAAAGAAAAAGAAGGGAAGCTACCATTGCTGAGACAGGAATCCGAAAAGAGCCGACACTTAACTTAAAGGAGCTAATATCCAGCCTTACCCCTAAGAAAAGTAAAGCCAAGGCACGTAAAAGTTTGCATGTTGGCGCAGCGATAGGTCTCCTTGGAAAACGGCCGGCGGAGCTAGACGAGGATGGCGAGGAGGAAGAATATACTCCCAAGCGCCTCAAGGGCCGCGAAGCAAGTCCCGTTAAGAGCATCAGGCTCCCCGCTCCTCTCTCAATGGACGAAGCTGTTAGACGAACCTCTCGAGCATCAAGCTACAATGGCCCTGAATCATCCCCATCGCACATGTCAAGTACAACTCCGAAAGGAGCTCCTCGTACTAGGCCTTTAGGCAGATCCGTCAGTGAGGAGCGTACTACTCAAAATTCTACAGTTTATCTGGAAGGCACCCAGGACAATTCTCCTAAGCCGCAAGTCGAGCCAATACAACTCCAGGATTTTCTGAAAATGACCAATATCCACTTTATGGAACTGACCACAACAAAAAGAAGGCATACGTTGGCACCCTCTAACGAAGAGAAAAAGGCTGCATTCAAGACTGAAGAGGAGGCTGCAAAAGGCACAAGCTTGGAAGATTGCGTGGCTGCTGGGTTCTGCACAGTACCAATGCTTGAGTTATACCAACATGTATGTTAATTCAGACTTATTTCACCTTTACCGAGCTAACCTTTCCTTTAGTCGTGCCGTGAATTGAAATCCTATATTTCAGAAGGTCGTCGAATTATTCGCTCGATTGAAACGGAAACTTACTCAGACAATCCGCCACTGTTCCAAGAATATGTGACAGCACCACCCGATATCCGGTTGTTGATGGACAACCAGTTCCGTAACGTTAAAACTCATGCGCGCCTTTTAAGCAAGTCCATGTGGTACGAATGGCGAATGAAACTCGTGGAGGGCCTTAAGGAAGGACTCGACCGTCACGTTGAGGAGATGCAGAATGACGAAGCAATTCTATCGAAGAAAGAGAGCCTATTAGATCGAGTGGTTCCCGCATTGGTTGAAAAACATGCAAAGCTTGAAACTGAAGCACGTTGTCTGCGGCAAGCAGTTGATGAACTGGAAAGCTGCGATAAGGAAGAACTTCGTCAAGCACGCGAACGATTGGCGGCTCTGGATGCGGAGATTGCCGCAAAGAGAAAGTCTCTAGATCAGGCACAAGCAGAGCTTGAAAACAAGAATGATTTCATCCAAACGGGAGCAGAGTTAAAGAATGAACTTTTGTTCCAGATACGTGAAGCGGAGCGAATTACGGAAGAGTGTCGAGGTTGGAATGTGAAGGAGGTTAAAGCCCTAAAAGGTAAGCACGCTATTTTAGCCATGATGTCATATTTGTTTTGTTTTGCTCTAACACATCCCAGCTTCTGTTCATGCCATTGAACGTCAAACCGGTTGGAGCATTTTGTCTGCTTCATTGAAATCGAGCTCCAAGCATGGCCCAGCATTAAGAATGCGATATCGCGACGAACTAGAAGTTGATTTTTATCCAGGCGCTTTCAACATCACACTGGAGCCGACATCGTCCTGCCGACGCTCGTCTCAACCGAGCAAAAACCTGCCTGTAAGCTTCAGCTATTCACCCAGCTTAATCCAAGGAGCTCGACATGCAAGTAGTGGACTGTCTCCTGAAAAGGCCCTGATTCTCCACGCACTCCGTATGCGCTCTTCCCAAATATCACAGTCGTCCCTTACCCCGAGACAGTTCCTTTCCGGCATCTCACGGACATGGGATAGGGCCATTAACCTAGGGAACGAAATACGTGCACTTGAATACTGCGGAATTACAACTGCGAAGGCGCCAGAAGTGAACCCTTCTGAACCAACGTTACTAGTAATCCGGTGTATGGTTCTCGGCTGGTCCTCTGCAAATGCTGAAGCGGAGACTTTTCGAGATAAAGTGAAGGGAAAATCGTCCACAGTTTCAGAGAACAGTGGCAGGGTGAAGGCTAGAGTTGACATTGATTTCACAGTGAAGCCGAGACCAGCCAATAGTGGGACAGATATCCCTGACCTGGATATTGAGGTTCACACAGATGTCTCTGCTAGCATTATCTATGGCTCTATTAGCCCGTACGAGGGTAATGCGGGGGAGGTGCAAATTGGCGATATGCTAGGCAAGATAATTCAGCAGAAGAATACCACCCCTGAAGTTGAATTAGGGGGTGGTGTGTGGCGGGATGCTGTGAGGAGGTTTGAAAGGAGAGTGTTCGCGTAAGAAGTGAAGTTGGTTATTCCTTTTTGTTAACTGTTCCCCTGCCCCCTTCTTCCCTCCAGAGTGAGGAAGAATCTGATGTGTTTCACGATTTATGAGTTGAGAGGTTAGCTACACTTTTTATTTGTTTCCTTCTTTGTTCTTTCTATAATACCATCTTGAAGACCGCTATGTTCAACGGCAGCATGGACTCTGGTGTTTTGCTGGTTTTCGCTCCATGCGTTTTCTTTTCCTGCTTTCTTTTGGCTGTCCTTAATTTCTTGGGCTTCATTCCCTGCGAGAAGATGCTGCCTTCGTTTTATCTACTCGTACAGCTTGCTGGGGATTTTGATGTATCTATGTTGCATCGCAAGAACTCGTCCCAGTAGAATTACAGTGGTTCGATTCTCAATAGAATAATTGGTTTCCCAGATGATTCTTCGCTATAGTTATCCATCGCGATTGCGGGTTTGCTATGTATAATGAACACGACAGTCAATAATTTGGTCATTCTACGCAGCGCATCAACCTGCATGTAACAAAATATAGGGCACTATAGGGCCCCTGTGCAGTTGAGAAAAGAATTTGATATTCCTCCCTCCTTTGCTTATTTCGCCTCTGTAATTGGCCCTGATCTTTGCGATAGCGGATCCGGAACTTATATCGTTTATTCAATATCCCTTAACCTCAGATTGGTTGCATCACAATTTGCCAATTTTAGAAACGGACGAATCAAAAAAAAAAAAAAGAAATCGTAACATAAAATCGTAACACCATAAGCTGGGAGTAGGAACTGGTTTTTACTGGACCAACACACGCACAGGTAAATATAAGGAAACACAGCATTTATATATGATTCGACGTCCCTCAGAATCCAAAAAGCCACCCCAAATGAATGGGATAACTGCTTGGAAGACGCGGTATGCTGTCACGGAAAAGTTGATCAGGTCTGTGGATACTGACAGATCAGTTGCAGTGGTCGTGATGGACCTCAGAACCCTCGAAGGTAGTCCCGGCGGTGGCGGTCAAATCCAGGTTTAGGGTTGATGCGTCGCGAGTCCTTCAGGGAAGCTTGAAAACACACCATGAGGCGTCCAGCTAGCCAAAGACGCTTCGGTCTATCTCGGATGATATGAAGAGTACGATCCTGACACAGTTGACAGAAATCTCTGAAAGTAATGCCTCAGCACATGATCTCAGAGGGCGCAGAGGAGTCGTGGCGGAAACGCACCGACCTTGGCCCTATGTAAAGTTGATCGGGAAGCCAAGGGGGGAACCGCACGCCGGGGTTGTTCGCGCCACAATATGATGGAGAGCATTGACTGGATCGAGACCAGTGGTCTGAACTCCAACAATCTTGCGAGTCTGAAAGCTAAAGAAAGGGGTGTTGATTTATCATGTGACATTTTGACCACAGCAACATCGTGAGTTTTCAAGGCAGCGAATTAAGAGGCTCGATTTATGGATGCGCGCAAGCGAAGGATTTGAAATCTGTTTGCATACTGCGGTTTCAGCATGTGCAGCCTGATAGTGAAATGATAAGCATGGAGTAATATTTTTATTCCTATCACTTGCACTGTCAGGCCGTCAAAGTCAAGGCGTCCACGCCGAATAAAATAACACAACATGAAGATATAGTTCGAGAGGGGCATTATCAACTACAAATTCATTTAAGATATGCCATCGGAGACACCGCAGTAATAAATCATCAATAGAGCTTTGTATTCTGTCCTGTCCGGGGAAACAGGTTGTATCGCTCACGCATCATGTTTAATAAGGAAGCCGAAAAAATAATTAAAAAATAATAAAAAAAGGGTATTCAGTCCCCAGATCGGTTCGATTGGCATATATCAGGATGAGCAAAGTGTATGAAAACATGAAAAACATTTGGTATATTTTCGATTTAGGACCCATTTAAAGCGGCGGGGCACAAGTAGAGCACATGATTGTTGATAGTATCACGCTGTAACTGGGTGCCTCTCACGCTGTCTTCGTTCGCCGTTTGTTTCTAGGACTTCACCATCATCATCATATTCGTCTTCGTCATCTCCTGCATGGTGTTTATAGTGAGGATGCTGTTGAGCAGGGACCCAAGACTCGCGGTCACCCTTGAAGGGTGGATCCTGGCTTGCCAGGTCCACACCCCCACTGCGAGTCTTCGAAATGTTCTTCCGGCGACGTTGGGACAGGGTGCGTGAACGGGTAGATAGTTTGGAGCTCACTGCTGCATTGGAGGAGACCCAATGCGTTAATGCATCTTCACAATCTTGAATGATTGCCCTGCTAGCATCGTACCCATCGTACGCGTTCCGAGTCTCTCCAGGGGTGACTGGAGTGTCGTCGATAAGCTCAAGAAGATGCTTTCCGTACCCAGCAATAATAGCTAGTTTTTCGCAGTGTTCACGGAGGGCATCAAATTGGTAACTAAATGCTGCCTTTATCTTTTCTCGCGTGATGTTGGATAGCTGTGCCTCTGCAACAAGTGATTCTGCCTCAGCACGAACCAATTCCTGTTCCAATACCACGATTCGAGGGGAACTGGGCTCTTTGTATTTCAGATGGGCTATCTGATCGGTTATTTTTTGCTTCCCTGGGACAAAAGGCTAGTTAGCATCCACAAGAAGAATGTTGTGATGTTAAATTTAACAGGTTGAACGTACGATCTCTGCTTGGCTGCACAGATGCCTCGATGTTCCGAATGCTTTTCATTGTAACGCGATACTGGTCGTATCGATCAACATAATAGTCCTCTAGTTCGCCAATTTCATATATTAATACTCCTAGCTTATCGGTGACATCCGAAACGTCATCATCGCACGCCTCTCCCCAATAGGAAAGTTGTTGCTATTGGTGTCTCAGCAGGTGCTCAGTCACGTAACGGAGAAGGTCGATGAAACGTACTGCAACCTCCATTCTCTCTCTCCCAACCAACTCCATGCTACGCATGACATTTTTCTCCATTTTTACCAGCTGAGAAAGCTTCTTAGACAGTTCGGGACCGAAAGCTCCCGCTGTTTGTTTTCGGAAAGCATGTCCTACACGGGGCAAGAGATTAGTATCATCTCGATATGCCCTCGAGGAGTTCAATTTGATAAAAGCACTAGTTTCTCCCGCAAGTACGGGGAAATTGTGCACATTACGGCCATGCCCAAGCAACAATTATAGAGATATCTACCCACCGAAGCTAATCTTTCCAAACAGGCGGTTGGTTTTGGTGGTGGAAGGGGGAGGAGGCGGGTTCTCGAGTTCCGAAGCCGTGGGTGCGCGCGACTGGCGCATGGAATAGGTTCGATGCATCATGAAAAAGAGTTAAGGTAGTATCAAACGAGACGCGTGCGTGAGTTTGGCAATCCTTTTTAAAGTGAACGAAAATATTGTTGGCTGTCAACATCCAACTTCGCCTTCTAGACCGGTTGGTTTGACCGGCGAGCTTTTGAGACTTGAACTTGAGGTCCAACTTTTAGCATAGAGCAGTGACTAGAGCTGTTCAGGCTATGTCTAGGACGACAGTTGATCGCATGAGACAGAAGCACCGGATGTATGTATATATGGGCAGCTACACAATGTCAGCAATTCTGCTGCGAGCATCCGGTTGGAATCGAGTTGGCTCGTCCGCTCCCAGACGGAGGACCTTCGAGATGTGACGTCGACGGAGATCGCTTAGCTTGCTTAAACAGGCTTAGAGCTCGTTACCGCGCAGCCTCGACGTTAGCTCTCCACACCTGAAATGGGCAGAGGGACAGGGATAAGAAGAACAGAACAGGCTGAAAACCTTGGAAATAATAAATTCGCCACAGTATCCACGCGGTGCTGCTCAACTGGTTGTTGCCATCTAGAATTTTTTTAAGGTTTTCGTGACATTTTTCAAAAAAAAGTCTACAGGCAAAGCCCATACATGATGCGCCCATTCCAAAGGAACCCAATCCAATCCACGAATTTCCCGAGCAAAAAGGAGTCGTGTGATAGAGAACATTTGTATGCAAGTAGAAAAAGTGTAATGACCCGGTCTCTGCTAATACCATATGATGTTCACTAAACACATATCATATATCTATGCTATAACTGAGATATAAATCAAAGCATATAGACCCAAGGAATTGAACCCAACAATAGGCAAAATTTAAATAAAAGGTATGGGTATGAAGTATATTCACATAAATTGGATCACTCCTTTTGTCGTAACATGCCCCCGTTACTTTCTTTCAGTCTTCCGCTTCTTTGTGGGCTTGCGAGCTGTCCCCTCACTTCCGTTCCCATCAGACCTATCACCATCATCAAGGGTATTGGATCTTTCATCTGCTGCCTTTTTCCTCCGTGGGCCCTTTGCTGCAGAATCTGGAACGGCAGCTTGGAGCGCTTCTCCATTCGCTACAGTTATGTCGCCGCCCTGCTGCTTTGTTTTAGCCTGATATCTTAACCGGCTAAAAGCCTTTTCCATCCTACTTTTCCTGTCCGGTCGTTGATGGGGAGCAAATGCACCTGCTCCCTGCGGCCCTTGGAAAAAGTTGGTGATATTTGATTGAGTACCCTCCTGTTCCCTCCGATTCATGTCGCGAATGACAGGGACGAGTACTTCATCCGTCCTCTCTTGGGTCCATCCGACTGTAGCCATCAGGAATTGACGGAGAGCATTAAGGTCAGGTACACCCCACTGGAAGGCCGAGGGATCTGAGTCTACCTCGGGTTCAAGATATGCAGTATCGACTCGGCTGTCGGGAAACCCTGGTGGGAGGAATAGCTTCGTGGCATTCTTTTTAAATTTTTTCCAAAAAGCAGAGTGGCTGCCATCTGGGAGTTTGGCACCCATTTGTACTTGAGACCACCAATCCCTAAAATCTTCCAAGGTCGAAAACTCAGTGAGGATTTCAAGGGCCGTAACAGGACCAACACCAGGTATTCCTTCAGTATAGTCACTTCCCAACAGGTGAGCAAACTGGATAAGTTTTCTGCGATCTAGATCATATTCCTTTTCGAGGTCGCTGTTGAGATAGCATTCGACAAATTTAACCTGGTTGAACATGTTTTTGTAAACGCGAGTACCACCAAAAAGGAAAATATCGCTATCATCAGTGACAACGCCATCAACTAAACCCAATGATACTAGCTCTGCGCATTGGGCCTCCGCTTCCATCGGCGCTGTGATGTATGGCAACCCGAAAAGTCTGAGCAATTCCTGACACTCTGACACCATAATATGCGAGACTTCATCGGCATCTCGCCGGTCTTTCTTTTGCTGAGACCGTAGCTGTTTCAATTCTTGTTCATAATCGAACGCATTTTCAGCTTGGCTTTTAAAGTTCAGAGTCGATGCAAACCGCGCATGCTCCTCAGCTTCGGTTTGTAGTTGATGCATTAATTCTTCGTCCTCAAAATCCAAATAATCGTCTCCAGCATCATTGTAAGGTGCCGAATCGTCTTGTTGGTCCGTCTCATTTGAGATTTTGTAAATGTCAGCTATTTGCTCTGGCAGTTCAGAAGTGTGAGGAATTTCAACATCCTCAAAATCTGTGTTTGGGGACAGCGTTGGTACTGGACCTGTTGCCTCAGAATTGGATAGCTCGTTAGCCTTGCCTTTCTCAGAAATATTGTCCTCTTTATCACTAGGTTCCCACTCATAGATTTCCTCAACGCCGCTCCCGGGAGAACCTAGTTTATCCACCGTTTGGTCAACCGTGTTCTTTGCGTCTATGTTGTCAGCCGGTCTGCTTTCAGACTTCGTGACTAGAGGAATGGAAGGCCCAGTGAAGACCGTTGGGGAACTTCTGGAATTTGATTGTTTCGGTAAAGCGGCAAGTTTGGACTTTTCCACATCTCCAGTCAGGTCCTCTACATCGATTATCTCCCTTTCATGGGGGAGACATTCATCAACGTCAACTATCTCCACAGGGTTCCTTTTGCTAAGGGTATTTTCACGTATTGTAGGCTCAGCCCTTTCGAATTGGTCGTCAGCTTCTTGTTTTATGAAAACATTCTTACCCAGTTTTGTACCAAACCATGGAGGAAGTGGTTGGGATGGTCTTTGATCCTTTAACGAGGGTTTC